GACCTAGACTTGTGGTTCCTATTTCGCTCGAAATGCTTCAGTCAGTCAATGTAATGATGCTAATGGTAGGCTTCGATTTAGTTGCAATTTACAGATGACGGTCATCTGGGTTGTTTGCTGTGGAGACCTCAAATCATACGATTTTAAATATTTTAATGTTTTTTCTAACCACCAGAAGACAACCCAAAATACCACAGTCAACAATTACAACTATTTTAAATCTTTATGCACTGCTTGTTCTTTGCTTTTCTCGGCTCAGGTGCAAATTATTTATTTGACACAATTTTTAGCTCGTTCAAGACACTTCATGACCTCCATTTCCTTACAGGACCAGTTGTGTGTTATTAGACTGTTTCCTTTATTTTATGAGGAGAAACTGTCATAATATCCATGTTTCGAAATGCCTGCTTTCAGAATTGTACACAAAAGTAGCTTATTTATTAGATATGATATAGAATAGTCTGTATATTACACGTCTCATAGACCGATATAGCTTTTATTTTAAATCCTTTTCGATTTAGCTGTATAATTAAATTAGGCCTTAAGCAAGGAAAACTAATTTCTTAGTCGCGGAATTGTCTTAAACTGCCTGTAGTGCAGTTATAGACTCTGCAGACAGAATTATATCAGCAATGAATGACCGTCAAGGTCATCGAGACATGACTAATTAAGTACACATGCCCTTAAAACTGAAACACACCGTTCTATAGTTAGACTACTTGTTTTATCAGCGTACTCGCATTTAAGAAAATAATGATTATAATGTCATGTAGCCTTCATATAGAGACAGTTAGCGGGACAGAAAGGAAGGTATCTTCACAGTATTTGGTGTATTTCGGTATTAGTGTATTTAGTGTATGAAAATTTTATTTGGGAGATGAAACTCGGCGACAACCTCACCGTTATGCTTTCATTTCGAGCATTAAGCGTAATAGAGCGCATGAGCCTAGGTAAAGGAACATTTACCCCTGCTTTTAATTAAACACCGCGAAGGGAATCCATGGCCTGTGGGAGTGGAGTTACACAGGTTTTCTTAACACCGGTACTAGAGGGAGATAAGAGTTGTC